CCCCCCCCAAACCCTTGTCCTGGATATAAAACTTTTCATTATTTAAATTTTGCGATTAACATAATTAGTGAAGTACCTATATTATTATTATTCACCTTTTACATTTCTCACTAAAAACGTGTAATAAACTTTTAGAATCTGTTTTTTTTTTGGTATCTTCAATAGTCCAAGTCTTATTCTTTTATCTTTTACCTATTATAAAATAATTCACTTTTTTTTATTTTAAAATACCCAATATATTTAGACCATATACCTCTAAAGATTGTTGTGAGATGTATATGATCCAACTTACCTTAATTAGATATATTGGGTTCGAGTCCTGTGCTTAAAGAAATCCTGTTGAAATGTTTTCTCCCTTTTACTAGGCTTACGTGATACGAATCTAAATTAGTCGGGATCTCAATACAAATACGAGGAGAAAACAAAAAGAAAAATTTTGGGCCCCCGAATTTGAGGGCCTAAAGCCTTTGCTTTAGTGGCTTGACCCTTGGGCCGCCCCTGTTTGTACCTTTCATAACCTATTGATATCATGGGAAGAAAGCAGTTCAGTAGACAATAACCATCTATCCATCTATGTTTGCTAATTTGCACACTCTAACTACCTATGCACCGCCATCCGTTCCATATTAGAGTGATGTTTTGCCTCCAATATATTGTTTCTTTCTGCTTGATATTTTCAAGGCACTAACTATCTTAGTTTCACATTTTTAGGACTATGCCAAGGTAGGGTGTGTTGTGCGACGGGTGCGGCAGTGATGAACAAGTAAGAATTACCTCAATTAAACAATAATAACAATTCAGTATAATTTCACAAGTGAAATTCAGGACGGATAGTATGTTCGCAGACCTTACCCGTACCCTTGTATAGTAGAGAGGCTGTCTCCCATAAACCCTCTGCCCAGGAAGAATTGCCCATTAAAGTTGATAAAAATTGGACCTTAAGAATGCCATTCAAGTTAGTGATAAATATAATACCAAAATTTACCTATTAAAAATATAATTCGCTATATTCACAGTAGTACAACTTGAGTACAGACAAGAGAAAACAAAAACCATTTTTCTTTCAAAAAAAAAAAAGAAAAACATAGATGAACTTCTTTGTTTACAGAAGGGGAAGTTTGATTCGTTAAGATTCTCGTAACTTGTTAGATATGGCAAAGAGAGTGCCAATAATAACAATTACAACCCCTGAAATCAAAAGGTTTGATTGTCTTGTTCCTTCTACAAATAAAAAAAAAAGTTAGAGGTAAATAAATATATCAAAATAAAACAAAATTCTGAGAAAACTAGATTCATTTGTCATAACTTTTCTTCAATAAGAGAAGCTGGTGTTTATAGTGGGAGCTCTTAGGTTCAAATTATTCAGGCAAATACAAAACGAGAGGTAATTTTTACACATGTTCAGATGGACACATAATCTTGGTAGCAAAACTGGTAAAATTAGTCGAGGTGCAGTTGTTTGAACACCACGATTATCCAAAAAAAAAGGAAATAATAGAACCCGTGAAATTAGTCGACGTACACGCAAGGTAGCTCGAACGTGTCACGACCCATTTTCTGAACAAGCCAGGACCGGCACTCGATCACTAAACATGACCGAGTGAACCATCTCTGCTTATCAAATCTATTATAACTCCAAACTTTATATGCAACAAGGCAATACTCTAACCAAATGTTTTTGATTAATTTAAACATTTAAATAAATCAACTCCAAAACTTTATTCATAGTAACCAATGAAATACTGCTAAGTTATTATCAAAAACATCTGAATCTTAACCCAATGACTATGTCTATGAAGCCTCTACTGATAAGCTGACGCACTGCTTAGGACATGAGATTTCCTAGCCAGTTCTCTAAGTAAAAAAGAAATAACTAAATAAAGATGACTCTAAGGAATACTCCACGAACAAAAGCAGAGCTCACCAATAGCACTAAAAGAGAAGAAAGTCCTAACTCGTAGCCTGCTCGCCTGCAAAACCGGTTCCTACGTTGTACCGCAGACCAACGTAGGTTCCCAAAAGAGAACGTCAGTACCATCCATTGTACTCAGTGAGTCTCAACGACAGGGGACGAAACTTTAATAACATATACATTACGAGCAAAGATTCTAAATGCATGTAAAACATAAAGCTTATAAGAACAATTCTAAAATAATTGCATAATAGCAGTTTATGAATATTCTAAAAGAAATTCTTTTCTTTTTCTTTCTTAAAAAAAAATACTTCACTTTATACTTTGGGAGTTCCAACTATCCTGACTTAATTCTGTCTCAGTCACCGTGTGATCGGCACGGATTCGATCCCAACCTGATCGAATAGGCCCAATCGACGAGGTGTCACTCGCTTCACGGTTCTCAGCGCTCATGTCTCATACCTTAGCATGGCTAAGTAAATTCTCAGCAACGAGACCCTCGGCTCGTGTGCTCCCTACTTTGGCACAAGTAGTTTCAGGAAGTCAACGCCTTGGTCAGGACCCTAGGCCTGGACGATGACTCCTGTCACACCTCCTTTTTCCGCCCCCGCGAGGGTAAGGAGTTTTTTCCAATTAAAGGACAGTCGAAACGGGATTTGTTTATTTATTTCAGAGTCGCC